CTGAAGAATTGCTATTCTGGGGAAACTTGCTCCTCTCTGCTTTCCTCTCCCTCTGGGATGGCTGAGTTGGTGGGGGATGGTGGCAGGGAAGTTAAGAAGGGGGAACCTCTGGGAGGAAAATTCTTAGGGGCTTAAGGGTGGATTTGATGTATATGGTATCTCAAAAAAAAAAAAAAACCACTCTAGGGGTCAGGAAACTGCCTCATTTATTTATTTATTTTTTTCAGTTGTTTTTTTTTTTTGTTTTGTTTTTTTTATAGAGGCATGTTTTATTTATTTATTTGTTTGTTTGTTTTGTTTATACATGCACTGGGTACAGTCAGAAGCGCGGGAGGGTGAGAGAATTCACCAGAGCCAGAGCAGGGAGCAGAGCAGGCAGAAGGACCGAAGCACACTGCTGAGGGGAGCAGCGGGCGGCAGGAGAGGTCTGCGCGCCATGTGGGACCCTCCTCTGGTGGCCGGGGAGCAGCCGGGGATCGAACCGGCGCCGCAGAGGCCGTGGGCAGCTTCGCAACCCAGCGCTCAACTGCTGTGCCACCGGGGAGGCCCGAAACTGCCTCATTTAGACAGATGACACCCTCATCCTAAAACTAGAAGGTGGGTGGAGTCCAGATTTTAGGCACTGTGCCAGTCACTAATTTTCCTTCTCTCCCACTCTCAAGTCTGATTTGTGGCTCCAGGTCCAATTTCAACTTTAAGAGGGCACAGTGTTTCCTCAGTAACTGAAGAGAAACTGTTTCCTTCGGAAAAATGCACTAGAGACTCAAGGACCTGGGAGGTCCTCACCCCCTCTCAGAGGCAAGACAATGCAGGTGACTGCTGACTTAGATCTCAAGAAAGCTATCCTTTTTACTGGACCTGGAGAGGCAGGATGTCTAGACTTAACCTTCAAGACCGGGGGGCACAAAAACCGGGGGACCAAAAACCGGGCTTCATAGGAAAGAACGCATAACCATCAAGGGCAAGAGGCCCATTCTGCCACTAGGTCCATGGTGGGACTTCATTCAACCTGCTGGAGCTTCTTTGGAAGCATGGTAGAGTGCCCCAAGATGGGGGGCCCCAGCTGCAGCTCTCTATGAGCTCACAGTTAAGGAAAAAAGCAAGACTTTCGGCATGTCTACCAGCAAAGGTGTTAGGGCGGAATGGTTAAGGAAATGATGCAGACTTGGGGGCATCAATAGGTGGGCTTCAGGCTGCTTCAAGACCAAAACACTGGGCCTCCCTGGTGGCGCAGGGGTTAAGTCTTAGCATTATCAAGCTATCATCAGCCATTGCGACATGAGTTCAATGCCCGGCCAGAGAGCTAACCCACATGGCGCAGCAGACCTCTCCTGTCTTGCCCGCTGCTCCCCTCAGCAGTGTATTTCAGTAAATCTGCCTGTTCTGCTCCCCACTCTGTATCTAGTGAATCCTCCCACCTCTCGCACCTCTGGCCTAGGCCCCAGTTCTTGTATGCATAAATAAATAAAATAAATCTTTTTTAAAAAAAAAAGACAAAAAAAACTGGGAACTAATGAGGCAGCCAGCTCTGTCAGGGTTCTCAAGTGGGGCTTGAAGGTGATGTGAGACTGAAATATGTTATCCAGACTGGTCCAGAACCTAGTGTTGCCCTAATCTGGGACTTCACTTTACTTAGAGACTCAGCAAGAACCTGGCTGATCACCTGGCTACCTAGCTCAGTCGGCAGAGCATGATACTCTTAATCTCAGGGTCGAGGTTCCAGGATGAGGAACTGGATATGAGGAAGAGCACGAGGTGTTAGAGTTATGCTGAGGAGGTGAAGATGATATATCCCAATGCTTAGCCATTTTGTTATCTGTAATGAGTGAAGATTTTGTCACTGTCCTTTGGTTACTTCCTTACTTTTTCAGGATCTCTATTTCTTCATCTGTCAGATGGGAACAAGATCTGTCTTAGAAGGTGGTTGTATGAACTGACTGAGATAAGGGGCCTATAAGCATCCAGCTTCACAGTTGGGTCACAGAATTGAGGGCCCCATCTCCTGTTCAACATTACTGTGCATTCTCTGCCCACCTAGGGAAATGGGAAGAGGAGGTATTGGGCTGGCTGAAACCTTAGGAAAGGAAGTCTCCAAACGTCAGGGCTTCAGAGAACTCTGCAAGGTTCCATAGTGGGAAAGGGGTATTTCTAGACAACAAGCAGATCCCTCAGGTTTCCACGTGTGGACCCTACCTGAGCTGGCTCTTAGCAAATCCCTCCATGCAGTGGTGCCTGGATCAATCTATACCCAGCTGGACAGAAGCACAAAGGTGAATATACCCAAATGGGGAAATTTTTCCCTTAATAATTCCCTTTAATCTAGTTTTAAAAGTAAGTGGAAAATAGGCACTCCCTGGTGGCGCAAGGGGTTAAGCACTGCACTCTGAAGCAATCAGCAGCCTCTGCAGCACAAGTTCAATCCCCGGCAAGGGAGAATCCTACATGGCGCAGCAGACCTCTCCTGACTCGCCAGCTGCTCCCCTCAGCAGGGTACTTCAGTAGATCTGCCTGTTCTGCTCCCCACTCTGTCTCTGGTGAATCCTCTCACCCCCTGCATCTCTGTACCCCAGCTCTTGTATGCATAAATAAATAAATCTTTAAAAAAAAAAAAGTAAGCGGAAAATATATAAACAACGACAGGTCATTCAAGGAGATGGTCTCTTTTAGCCTTATTTCCCTGTCTTCCTTGCAGGTTAGCCACCAGACAATACCAAGTGTGGGTTACCCTGTGACCTGGAGTTGCCAAAAGCTGCCATGCTGGTGCTGTTTTGGGTCTGCCTGGCAGGTTTTCCCATCCCTTTCCCTCAGGATATCATTCCCCACCCCCGCAGAGAGTGACAATTAGAGTACTCTGTTCTGCTCTGCATACCCACCCTTCATCCAGTTCCACTGAACCTGGAAGGCTTTTCTTGACCCTGACCATTTCCTTGTCAAAGCTCAGGATGTCCGTCTGAGCACGTAGGCCACCCTAGGTGAATTCTACCTTGTCTCTTTGTGGAAGAAGGGTGCTTCCCTGTGGATTATTTTTTAGAGACAGAAATGGAAAGTTTGGGGCAAATGTGTACCTACACAGAACATAGAGGTGCTGAATGGTGTCACACGGGATAGCCTTTATTTCCTATCACAGAGGCCAACAACAGCAGAAATGTTGTTCCCCTGGCCTCTGGCCTTCAAACAGGCCTTGTTCCCTGGGAGCAAACTCATCGTCCTCCTCTTATTTAAGCAATGGCTGCACTGAGCTAGTGCCTGGAAAACCTGAGGGAGAGGCAGCAGATGGGTGAAAGCTTCCATTCCTTGTGGGTGACTTAGTTCTGCCCTGGGATACAAGCTGCTTCACCCAACGTAAGTTGCACCGTGTTTTTTGTTTTAAGATTTATTTACTTATGCATACAAGAACTGGGGTGGAGGCAAGCAGTATGGGAGGTGAGAGGATTCACCAGAGACAGAGTGAGGAGCACAACAGGCGGATTGACTGAAAGAGTGAAATACACTGCTGAGGGGAGCAGCGGGTGAGACAGGAGAGGTCTGCCGCGCCATGTGGGTAGCTCCCTAGCCGGGGAGCAAACTCATGCCACAGTGGCTGCGACAGCTTCATAGAGCTGAGACTTTAACCCCTGCTCCACCAGGGAGGCCCAAGTAGCACATGTTTTTTTTTAAGACTGGTTTTGTCTGCGTTTGCCTGTGCTGATGTGAAATCTCCCTCTCCTGTGTCACCAGAACCTACAGGCAACAACAAAACTGCTCTTCCTATCTTTCCGCCTTTAGGTTCTCCCTGAGGCAGCCAATCCCAGGCGCCCAACCCTGATGGAAGGCAGGTGACATTCGCTGGCCAACTCTTCACATCTGCCTGTACATGGTTACTTGGCAGAGGGCACACGACCAAGACTGGGTCAATCAAAGTTCTTCACGGGAATTTTACGACTTGGAAATGGAGAAATGGCTGCCTCCGCCCCTTGCCAGGAAATGAATGCCACCGAAACGAGACTGAGAGATTCAGCAATGAAAGAAATGGAGATAAAGTCCCTCTCTGTGATTTGTTTACCTGAAATAAAAACGCATGCCTTCCCAGCTTTAAGTGGGTCAGCCCTGGGGTTCTGTCACTCGCAGTGGAGACACCTGAGGGGGCGATTCTGAGGTAGCTGGAGACCGAACGTGCTAGAACCACAAGAAGGCCCTCACGCGAACACTGCGAGTTTGCGCGTGTTTGTATTTCAAGAACAAGCAAACAGCGGCTTCGCAGTCAGGACCCGGGCGGGGCCCCGGCCGGCCGGCAGAGCCGCGCGAGCGCCCACGGCTCCCGCAGCCCCGTCCCGCCACCACGACGCGGACGCACGTGCCTCCTCCGCTCTCCGTCCACCGTGAGTCCCGGCCGGGCGCCGCCTCGGGTCCGGGGCGCGACGCGCCCCAGCAATTCAGTTACCTCAGGCGCAGGTGGCACGCGGGGCTTCTCCGCGCAGCTGAGGGGCCGCGAAGTTCCAGACAGTCGAGAGAAGCGGCCCGCGCGGGCCCCGCCGCCGGTGTCCGAGGGCCGGCGGGTCGCGCCGGGCCGGGCCGGGCCGGGGGGAGGGGGCCGGGCCGGGGAGGAGGGCCGGGCCGGGCCGCGCCGCGCCGGGAGCTCGGGTTCGCCGCCGCCCGGCGGCCCCGCGAGCGGACGGGCGGCGCATGCGCGGCGCGGCCCGCGGAGTTGTGAATGGTGCGTTTTGTTTGCCGGAGTTTGGGGCGGGCGGGCCGCGCGCAGGAGGGTGGGGCCGCGGGGGCGGGGCGGGCCGCGGGGCGGGCGGCGAGAGGAAGTGGCGGCGGCGGCGGCCGGGGGCGGCGGGTGCTGGGTCCGCGCGGGCGGGAGACAACGGCCGGGCGGCGGCGCCGGGGGCTGCGCGCGGGCGGGCGGCGGCACCTCGGGCTCGGGCGCGGCGTCCACGCGGGCGGGCGCCTGAAACAAAGGGAAGCGCGAGCCGGGGCGCCGCGGGTGGGCGCAGGCGGTCGGCGGGTGCCCGCGCCAGCCGGAGCCCCGCGGCGCGGCCTCGGGCGGGAAGATGCCGCGCGTCGTGCCGGACCAGAGGAGCAAGTTCGAGAACGAGGAGTTCTTCAGGAAGCTGAGCCGCGAGTGCGAGGTGAGGCGGCGGCGCCGGAGGCCGCGCGCGCCCCGAGTGGGCCCGGGCGGGGAAAAGTTTGGGCGGGCGGGCCGGGCCCCGCCGGCGCGCCCGGGGCAATCTCGCCCGGCGGCCGCGCGGCGCTGCCCGTCCTTATCGGCGCCGCGGGCGGGCGCGGGCGGCGCCGCGGATTTGCCCCTGATTGCGGCGTCTCCCTCGCAGATTAAGTACACGGGCTTCAGGGACCGGCCCCACGAGGAGCGCCAGGCGCGCTTCCAGAACGCCTGCCGCGACGGCCGCTCGGAAATCGTAAGTCGGCGGGGCGGGGGGCCGGGGCGCGGGGGCCGGGGGCGCGGGGGGCCGGGGTTCGGGGGGCCGGGCGCCCGGCGCGCGGGTCACTTGTTGCGCCCCGGCCGCGGCGCCCGGCGGGTTCCGGAACTGGGCGGCCGCCGTCTCACTTCCTACTCGGGATTCAAAATGCGAAACCAGACGCCGGCGGGCCGCGTCCTCGCGGGGAGACCTGCCCCGGCCCGCCGCGGGGGGCGGGGGCGCCCGGACACCCCCGCGCACGGTGGGCCTCGGCGGGGGGACGCCACCCCGGCCCCGGCTGAACCCGGGAAGGTGGTGCGGGCGGTGGCGCTGACCGAAGGCTTGGGGTGCACTGACCGAAGGCTTGGGGTGCACTGACCGAAGGCTTGGGGTACACTGACCAAAGGCTTGGGGTACACTGACCGAAGGCTTGGGGTGCACTGACCGAAGGCTTGGGGTGCACTGACCGAAGGCTTGGGGTACATAGGTGGGAAGAAATCATCCTGGGGTGGGGGGGATGAGGCTTCATTCAGGATTCTGGCTCTTGCACGATCGTTTGTTTTTCTTGGACGCTAGATTTTTGGTGAAGCTGTGTGTGTGTGTGTGAAGCTGCCTCCCCCGTACAACAGAATGAATCTGAGAAATCACCCAGGGGTTAGTTAGCTCTCGTCCTGGCAGGGGAGCGGGGGAGTCCGTGCCATCCTCTTAGAATGTTAAGCCTCAGGAGGATCTGAAAGACGCCTTTGCAGGCTCTTTTCAAACCTGATACCCCGCTCGGGGCTGTCGTGCCTGAAGAATTGAGTGGATTGGAGAAATCGACAGTTGAACTGGGGGCTGTTTCATCTCCACCAGACTTTATGTTGAAGGGAAAATATAAGTGTCCTCGTTGCCCTCATCTCCTTTTGATTTGTCCTTTTGATTTGTCCTGTTGGAGGTGCTGATGAGACCGAAAAGTGGGTAAGAAGAAACTAAAGACAAAGGTTGATTGTTAATTTTAAAAAGTAAAAAAATTCAAGTATTGTGTAATGCAGTACCGTTGTCTACTTGATGGCTTGGACCATTGCTTTTGCAGACTTAAGGTGAAGATCCGGTTTGAATTGGGGTTAATGATAAGACATTGGAAAACTCTCACCCCCATATAGAGAATATTTCTTTGTATTGAGACATACTACATATTCATACCATAGAATTCTCCCTTTTTGTTACTGAAGTCGAATTTATTTTTAAAGAATATGTGATATTTAAGATGAAGGCGTTTTCGATTTATGTTACTGATAGAAGTTACTGGCTAAATTTATTAGCTCTGGAATATTTTGTCGTTATTGCACATTATGAAAGAAAATCTCCACTTTTTAGCCCACTTCCAAGTTTCTTGACTAGTTCAGTACTTGCATGACTCAAATGTATAGGACAAATATGTTTTGGTTTGGCACTGAGTGGTACAAGAATCCTTCATCTAGCCTGCTCTGTGCAGGTTTTATGTAGTTTTTTTTTTTTTTCATCATAAGTGCTTGATTATTTGAATTTATAGATCACTAGATTTACTGTTCAAAATTTATCCTACGACTTATAAGCAGGCTGTGGTTTTTACTTTGACTGGACAAGGTATCATTTTGCATATATATTGTCAACAGCTTTATATGGCAAACATCTGTCTAGAACATTACACTGTATATGTACACACATTTATAAAACATAGCACCATACATACATATGATTCCCAACAGGTTTTTTCCCCTCTTTTCTTTATGTTTTGGACATCTCTGACATGTTAGTTGTGCTAATGAAGATTTTATATTTTTTAAATGTAAAACAATGTAAGGGCTGCGATGCTCATCTTTTCTTAGCTGTAAAACTTACCCACACTCTTATTGTAACCTAAAATAAAAGTGATTATGGATAAGGAGTAGAAGAATCTGTTTGGTAAAATCTCATTTAATTCTCACTGTACTAGGAGTGTGGGCGATGTCTCCAACACTAATGATTAATAAAAGAAAAAATGCTTATGAGAGGTATGGTGATTACTTTGAGCAGTAAAAACTATATACATTTTTAATCTTGAAGATGGAAGGATAAAGGTATGTTGGAGTGGCACATGTTCTGCTCTTTTATTATTTATGGAACCTATAAAACATAGGTGGGACATCATGGAACTCTTACATACAATTACACCTATAGACAGTTTTACATATAGACAGTTTGACCTTTTCATGTTTTTTAACAGAATTTTCCCAACTGTTATGTGTAGCTATTCTATTTAAAAAAAAAGTTCTGTGTTCAGATAAGTTTGGGAAACACTATTCTAGAATGATCCTGTTTTGTTTGTTTTTTTAACTACTTCTGTCTCAGAAAGGGATGTTGATATAATGGGCATAAAGTGATGAAGCAGGAAATCTCTTCTGAGGTTGGCCTTCAGACAGGAGGTGAGGTAATAAGATCTGTAGACTGTCTTTACTTAGCTCAGAACTGATTTGGTAGGAGTAGAAGTTACTAGTTCAGTGCTAAAAAAAAAATGTGTGCTGCATTTTGACAGAGGATCTTTCATTCTTGGCTAAATCTCTTATCAGCTACCACTCTGCTCTGATAATTTCATTATCTGAGGCTGAAAAGGTGGCTCTCTTATTCAGTTCAAAATTATTTCTCTTATTTACATATACATGCAGTGTTTACGTGCTACTGTTGTAAGCACTTTACAAATACTGGAAACTGAGATACAGAGTTAAGTAATTTGCCTCAGGTTATACTGCCTAGGCAGTTTCCCTCCTAGAGCCTGCTTTTCATTTGAAGTATTATTGGTTCACTTCACTTGACATGATTGTTTTTTAAACTTATGCTAATATTGGGGAAATTTTTCTTTTAAAGATTTATTTATGTATGTGTAGAAGAACTGGAATGTAGGCCAGAGTGTGTGTGGGGGGGGGGTTGTCACTAGGGACAAATTTTTGTTTTTTTAAGGTTAATGTTGATGTGTGTTCGGTCTACTCATATAGAATATTTACCTCAATGTTCATTAGGGAAATGCCATCAAAGATGTCTGTCTACAGAGATTTCGAGGTTAGGTTAACAATTATATTAACAGTATCAATACTAGAAATAGGAAGTATAATTTTTACCTTTTAAAGAATCTATAAAAACTCTTAAGCATCAGGGAACTAGTGTATAACTGAATCAGCCAGTGACTTCAAACACATTGCCCAAAATGTGAACCCCTTGCTTTCAGATGAACACTCTATAGTTGAAAACAAATTACACTTTAGAATTTTAATTAGTAAAAGAAAAATCTTTTAACGAAGAGTTTATATTTATATGATGAAAAAAAATTTTTTTTCCAAAGATGCTTTTTACTTATTTCTTAATTCCCCTCTGGACTAGACACAATGTTACTTCCTTTTTTTTTTTTTTTTCTTTTTTACTCTGAGGGAAATAATAGAATTAAATTGCTTAGGGGCTACAGAGAAAATGGTTTTAGGTTCTTCTGTCTGTTGACTTGTGCCATCCAAATCGTTTATAAATACTGGATGAATATTCTTGTTATTGGCAGATCCCATTCTCCTACTTAAGTCAGATTTTAGAAAATTTATGCTTCAATCATCCAAGGTTTTAAAGAGGTGAGAACTATCACATCACATGTGAATGTATGGTTTATCAGAGGACAGTTCCAAATACATTTTTAACATGAACTTTAAGAGCATAGTATTTTCTTCAGCAAAGGAAATCGGGAACAATTTAACTATGTAATTTGCACGACTTTAAACTGTGCTATGATTTAAATTTTAATATTTGTATAGATCTTCAGTGATTTTCCTATTTAAAGTACAAGTTTTTTAATTCAGGGATGGTGGCTTCTAGTTTGATGTTAGCAATGCGCGATCCTAACGTCAGCAAAAAATGACCTGAAAGAAAGTATTGATTCCATGTCTGATTTTATATTTAAGCAGCCAATGGCAAATGTCCTCAAAATGGAATCAGATGTTTGTAACTTAATACTTAAGAAAAATGATGAGTGCATGTTTTTTACTTTTAAGTATTCTCGGTGCTGCCTGGCTTAAGACAGAAACTGATGTAAAAATAAATGACTGCCTGCATAATTTATGTAATGTCCTGCTCCTGATCCTGTTTGTATTGATTTTTCTAAAAGGCTTTTGTGGCCACAGGAACCAATCTGTCTCTCCAGTTTTTTCCGGCCAGCTGGCAGGGAGAACAGCGACAAACACCTAGCCGGGAATATGTCGACTTAGAAAGAGAAGCAGGCAAGGTAGGAAGCATTTCTTTGCAATTTGAAATACTGTGCATTGTTTCATTATGGATTATCTAATTTGCATAAAGAGCACAAGAGTCTATTTGGTAAAGGAGGTCACAGGTCTGATTATACAGGTATATTATTATATTTGTTTGCATTCCATAATAAATAAAAATGTTGCACAATTTAAAAAATCCTCCAAGTTTTTATATCATTCTATTACTAATTTAATGTATGTAATATTCACAATGGAAAGTTCTAGTCCTTTAAAGAGAGTAGCTTGCTTTCTTACATGTAACATTCAAAACTTAATTCGTTTAAAAGTGTTGACAAAAAAAATTTATTTTTTTTTTCTAAAATGTGTGTGACTACAGTACTGTTAAATGAAATTAAAAGAAAAATGGGAAAAGTCTCTGTGGGCTTAAAATTTAATAATATTTAGAAACAGTTCATGGGTAACTTTCTACTATTAATGCAGCAAATTTAATTTTGGGGAAAACAATGTGAAAACTAACATGGAAATTTTGTGTTGAGGAAAAGTTTCTGGGAAAACAAATGCATTAATTTCATGTTGTAAATAAAATTTTCATGTTGTAAGTTTAGATTGAAGATATGAAAAATGTAGGTGGAAATGTTTAAATTGGAGCCTTATTACAGCTGAGTTATATGTTTTATATGATTTTGGTAAAATTTTAATGAATAATATATTGGATTGGTTCATCTTTCAATGTAGATGTTTTTACTTCTTCACTTCTTGAAGTAAGATATTTAGAGAATTTTTTTTATATGCTTTATTTTATACTTAATATTTCTCCTGTTTTCTTCACGGTGTATTTTCATACCTGATTTTGCCAACTTGCTAATTTTTCTAACTGTTGTCACAAATACCATAACCTATCACTTTATTTAGAAAGCATAACGTGCATTTAAACACCCTTCGGAGGAACTTGAAAGATTTTTGTATTAGGCTGTATTAGGCTGTGTACACACACACATCACAGTGAAGAGTTTTTTTGTTTTCTTTAGTTTTATACAGTAAAGTTGATTTATTTTAATGGATGACAAACCAACTAATCTTTGGATTGGGAGATGGAAAATAAAGATTAAAGAATTTAAAAAATGAGTAATACGTAATTTGCTTCCCTATCTATTAACTTTTTTTGCTTGAAAGATTAAAAGCAAATGTTCCGGATTTTATTATTTGGTAATCCTTATATGTAAAGGAAAAGTTGGGAAATCATTGTAGGATTATTGCTTTTTTTGCTTGGTGCATGAATGTGTGACTAAATGAAGAAAAATTTTTTTCCTTGTCCAAAATCTTTTCTTAAAGTTTATTTAACATGGTTCCTCAGATACTAAAGACATAAACTAAAAAATTCCTTTCCTCTTGGTTTTTATGCTAAACTATCTTAAACCATCACAATTGATATCTCCGTATTATGGGGGTCTTCCAGTATTTAATAATTAATAAATAGGTATTAACTCTGCTGCAAAGTATGTTTGCTTGAATTAATTTAATATTTGTTTGCTGGATTGAAGAGTACATTATTCTTGGCTTAAGCCATTGAGATACTGTCAGGTATATGAGCAACAAAAATGTTGACTGACTTATAGAATTTAGAGGATATGTTTTTAGGAAAAGTGAGCTATTGGGGAACTTATATTTTATTCATATTTGTTTTATAAGTTTTTTCTGTAAAGGATCAGGTAGTAAGTAGTTTCCGTTTTGCAGGCATATGATCTGACGCAATTTTTCAGCTCTTCTGTTCTAGTGTGAAATAAATCATAAGCACCATATATGCAGTTGAGTGTGACTGTGTTCTAAGAATAGCAGAAATCAGTGTCTTTCCCTCAGATTTAAATCTTTGTTTATATGTAGATCATGTATTTCTCAAGTACAGCTCTGTCAATCCCGATACTACACCAATAGGACCTAGAAGAAAAGAACACTTTTAAGGCCAAAAAAAAGCTAGTATATTGCTTCGTATCACTGGGATAAAGTACACCAGTGCGTTTAGAGAAGAGGGACTGACTTAAGTTTTCTCCATTATTGAGCATAAGCTTTAGGATCTTTTATTTTTCTTCCTCATTTTTTATGTATGTCTTTTTAATAGCTAGTTGCTTTTATTTCTGTCCCCACAGGACTAGAACTAGAAGCAAAGAAAATTACAGGAAATTTCCCCAGATGTTAATTATTTGCCTCCACTCTTTATATTGATCCCAAATCACTGTCTCTTCCACATACTCTCAACCTAGGTACTTACCTCCTAACACATCTTAGTTCTCTTCCCATTCATACCCAGTTTTGAGAAACTAGTGATTAAGACTTTGAAGTTAGGATTAATTGAGCTGAATACTGTATTCATATACTACTGCATTTACTGCTGTGTTAATTTGGGCAATTTATTTAACCTTTATGGTCCTCGGTTGTAAAATGAGATTAATGCATAGCTCCCAGTTCAATACCTGACAGTTATTCAGAATGGATATCTTCAGAAGATCTTTGTTGAATATCTTTTATGTATACCAAGCAATGTACTAGACAGTTGAGCTACAATCCTGCCATATTGTTTTGTGGAAGGATTCGAGAAGTAGACAATATAGATAATAAGTATGTTATGTTACAAAGTGGTAATCACTCTGGAAAAAAAGGGAAAAGTAGAGTAAAATAAAGCTATTCCATGAACAGGATTATTTGCTGTTTTAACTGGAATGGTCTGGGTAAAGGTGGTCATTCTTGAGTTGAGACCCAAGGAAAGTTAGGTATTGGGAGGTGGGGTGGAGGATGATGCTCCAGACAGGAGACATTCTGAGTAAAATGGAGTATTTTGGGTTTTTGAGCAGATGAATAAGATCAGCCTTAGGTTTTGGGTTACCCTTAGGTTTAGAGGACAGTAATGAAGCAGGAAGACCAGTTGGCTTTTGTGTAACTTTTTTTTTTTTAAGATTTATTTATTTATGCATACAAGAGCTGGGGTACAGGCCAGAGATGCGGGGGGCAGGGCTGTGAGAGGACTCACCAGAGACAGAGTGGGGAACAGAGGAATAGAACAGGCAGATTGACCAAAATACACTGCTGAGGGGAGTAGTGGGTGAGACAGGAGAGGTCTGCTGCACCATGTGGGTTGCTCCCCCGCCTGGCGGGGGATTGAACTCGTGCTGCAGAAGCTGGGAACTGCTTCATAGTGCTGTGCTTTAATCCCTTGCGCCACCAGGGAGGCCTGGCTTTTGTGTAAACTTTGGTGAGAGATTAAAGTAGTGGAGATTGTGAGAAATAGCCATAGTTTGAATGTATATGGAAGGAGATCCAATAAGATTTGCTTAGGGATTGGGTGTGGGCTGTGAGAGTAAAGAATGCCTCCAACATATTTAGCCAGAGCAACTGGGAGTATGGGATTGCTGTCATATGAGATGGGGAAAGCTGTGGGTGGAGTAATTTTGAGGAGCAATTTAAGACATGTGAGTATGTGGTGGTAACTTGTTACTACAGCTTCTGTTTTCTCAATACCCACCCTTCTTAAGTTATGGCACTGCTTTTTCCACAAATAATACTTAAGTCTGCTTATCTTAAGAGTTCAAGGGCATTTTCAAAAAAGATCAACTTTATTAAAGTATAGTTTTACATAAAATAAAATGTACCCATTTTTAGCAAATATATGTGTACCCATGTAAACATCATCCACAATGCAGGTAACCCCAGAAGTTTCCTCATCTCCTTTTACAGAATCTGTAAATCTGACTTGGTTAGATGGTGGTAGGAGCAGGGTCTCGCAGGAAATGGCAGTCAGACTGTTAGCTAGGGTTATGCATTCTCTGAAGACTTGACAGAAGCTGTACAGTCCCTTTCCAAGCTCACTCATCTGACTATTGATTGGTGACTTCAGTTCCTAATTATGTGTTTTTCTTCACAGAGAAAAGAGTAAAGCCACCCTCCTTCCTTTTTACGACCTATTCTACAGTCGCCTGTGTCTTACTCTATTCATTAGAAGGAGTCACTGAGTCTAGCCCACACTCAACAGGGAGGGGAGGATATATTTATGCATAAGTGTGTGAATACCAAGAGGCTAGGATCATTGGGGCCGTTTTAGAGACTGGCTACCACAATATTCACTTAAAATTAGTGAATTCAAAAAAATTAGAATGCTAATAAGAAACATGAGCTCCATAAATCTCTTCGATTTGAAATATGGCTTTTAGATTTAAGAAAATGGGTTCAGGGAAATCTTCTTTTATTCATTCTCTCTGCCTTTGTGAATATTTTCAAATCAAGTGTCTTTAAGGAAGATCTGTTAATGGATATGTGACCATGAATAAATACTTTAAGGTCAAGTCAAGGACTTTTAAAGTTTGTGTTACAAATACATTTCAAACTTTTGGACTCAGGTTTTTAGTGAGTTGTCTACGTTGACATCTAATAAGGGTCTTTCTTAGAAAAAGTTTAAATAATACAGTGTAGAGGAAAGAGCTGTGAGTCAAAAGATTGTCATAACTTTTTCTTACCTGTAAATGGGAATCACAATGTCGGCCATATTTATATACCTCATGTGAAGGTTAAACTAGGAACCAGGGCTTCCCTGGTGACATAAGGGGTTGAGACACAGCCTATGGGGCAATCTGCAGCCCCTGCAGCACAAGTTGGATCCCCCCAGCCGGCCAGGGAGCAAAACCCACATGGTGCAGCAGACCTCTCCTGGCTTGCCCGCTGCTCCCCTCAGCAGTGTATTTCAGTCAATCTGCCTGTTCTGTTCCCCACTCTGTCTCTGGTGAATCCTCTCACCATCCACACCTCTGGCCTGTACCCCAGTTCTTGTATGCACGAATAAATAAATCTTAAAAAAAATAAAATAAACTAGGAACCAGAGTATATAGGAAATATCTTTTAAATTATAAGGTTCTGTCCAAAATTAGACTATTTGATGATTTTCTACGGTGAGATTATAGATAACTTCATCATCCAGTTTTAGTGCTATAGGGTGCCTTTGGTCAGCTTCATTTCAGGTAGCTGTACAGTGTTG